TGCCATAGCCGACAGCAAAAAAAAAACATTTTGTCAATTTTCCCGCGTTTTTCCCCGTTTCCTAGGATACGAGGCCTCATCACGATTTATGAATAAGGTCTATGGTGTTGCTAATTAAACACGCACATAGCAGAGAGACTGTGTTGCACTACATGTCAAATTTGTGATTATTTTCATCTTTATTAGGACGTGTTTTGTGCATTTGATGAAGAAAGTATCTATACCTATATATTTTATCGTGAGACAGTTCAAGGTAATCTGAATAAATATCACAAATTAAGTACGGGATTTTACGGGATTAATATAACTTTAACTGAGTTTAATATGTTCGGTGTATGAACTATGGTAGTATACAATGTGAAAACCTCAAGGCTCAGCATTGACATTTAATTGGATTTCATTATTATTCAACCAGTGCCTTATAATGTGCCTACCCCATGTGCATAATTAATTCATGCTAGGTGGCTCTTACTCATTATCTACAATACAGTACTGACCATTGAATGCTGCTATCCACTAGTGAGCTCTCTAAATACCTGGAGCAAGAACTTGAACTTCAATCATTCGGCCTATAAGAAAAATGGAGCCAAGATGGCGACCGTTGACGCCCAATAGCTATTAAGGTTGTAAGCAGTTTAAATATCATTTCCCCCCATCTAATTCCAGATTTTTCTAACGGACCGTGTTGCTATTCAAGTTATTAGTTCATAAAACCATAATTTAAATCGAAGTCCCAAGACGAAATTTCGGCACACTTCTTGCAGACCGCGCAAACAAAAACAATAGAAAGGAACTGGAACTGACGTCCAATAGCTCCATCTTTGGCTTCACGTTTGACTCGAGTTCACGCTCCATATATATATATGGAGCTCACTAGCTGCTACTTACTCTTCTGACCAAGGGTCGTCGCTAAAACATCAAGAAGTGTTTTTTATTTGATGAGCAATATTATCAAAGGTTGTATCTACACTAATATATGTACATATCCAGCAATCGATTCATGTGAATTATTTTCCCAGGATCTCGATGTACAATGACAGGAACTACAAAGCTTCCATTTGCTCACTTTCCTCTTATCCTTCACAACGGGGAACTCACTTGTCAGACTCAAAGTGGAAAGGTATTAAATAGCAATCTTGTATGTGATTCTTATTGCCAGTTATTCTTGGACAGATCCCTTTAATTTATTTTGTTTATTACGCCAGGTGGTAATGTTTTCATCCACGTTTGTACGTGTGTTGTGTGCGTGTATTGCATGTGTGTGTGTTGTGTGTTCTGTGTGCGTGTTGTGTGTGCGTGTTGTGTGCGTGTTGTGTGTGTGTTGTATGCGTGTTGTATGCGTGTTGTGTGCGTGTTGTACGTGTGTTATGTGTGTGTGCGTCAGTAAGATAACTTTTAAAAATCTAACGTATTAATACGAAAATTTGTGGGAGGGTATTGCCCAAGGACAAATTGTTTAAATTGAGTAAAAAGCTTGTCTTGCTTTTCCGGACAGAGTAAACTGATTGCGTAATTAGCCCATTGTATAATTTATGCATGGTAGATATACTGATTGCGTAATTAGCCCATTGTATAATTTATGCATGATAGATATAACCTAATTTGCTGACGGAGGTATGCAATCTCCGAGTATCCTCTAGTTGATTTAGGTTTTGCTTTGTTGTTCACTGATATATCGGACAATGTGCGTTAACGAGTTAAACACATGGGGTTAAACAGCACTCTTGGATGATGGAGGGAAGCGTTAATAATTTACTTGTGTGATGTTACTCTGAGTGTACATCCACACCGGGCAGGCTTGAAAAATATGCCTGGCCACGGTGGGATTCGAACCTACGACCTTTGGAATACTAGCCCAATGCTCTGCCAACTGAGCTATGCGGTCAGGTCGGTTCGAGTATGCGATATTTCGGAACTGAGTCTAGTTCCTTCGATATCAGTGTAATCTAATAATCATGAAATTTTCAAGCCTGCCCGGTGTGGATGTACACTCAGAGTAACATCACACAAGCATCTTATTCACCTGAGTACATTACATCAACACAGCAAATTTCGCGTTAATAATTGTTAATAATTTCCGTCAGTAATATCATCTGAGGGATATTAAACAATTGATCATAACAAAATTAGTATTGTATTTTGTATTCAAACTTTACAATTTTTATTTATTCAAAGACAACAAACGTACGCTTAACCAGTCACTCATTCCTTGAGAAACCTCAAGATGTTGCTGTTTCTGAGGTAAGAAAGAGAAGATCATAATGTCGTTTACGACCACTCTCCTTGCCAGACCCACTCTGAGGATTTCCTGAGAAGCGCTGAAGGTCTCGAACCGCCTCATTACCCTCTAGCGCCTTTCCATTTATTTAATGATAAAATATACACTAGACATGCATGCAGTCGGTCGTAAAGAATTGATATCCATCTTCCGTTCTTCAATTCATGGTATATCGGTCTGGATACACCACAACATGTCCTATGGGTATGTGAACGTCTGTGTTTATCGTTTTCTCCATTTTTGCAGCTTGTGACTTCATTTAAACAGTGTTTAGCTCTGAAAAGGTAATGTATTGCTATTTTGGTACTTGTTCGCAATTTACACAGTTAAAACTGCTGTATTTCAAATTTATTACAAATTGTAAAAATAAGTACACGACTTTAACGTTGTTCCCGTGTGAATGTCGAATTCAAATTTGAAATATCTTTTTGATTGATATCTCACTTTTCTGAAACACTACGGATTGTCCAAGTTTTCTCAACATGCCCTCTCATAAGAGTTAACTGGAGGTTATCAAGCGTAGCAAGAATTCTTATCAACACTAATCAAAATTTGAACCACTTCAAAGTTTATGAGAGTACAGGAGAATATAGATACGAGTGGGTGGTCAAACGAGAGTATAGCCTTCATAGCAGTCCCTTACATTGATTTTATGTGACGATGTCATCGGACTGCCCGCACGCAGGCTAACGTAAGCGAGCGACTCTCATCTTCGTTGCCTTAGGGCTTAGAACTAACGTGTGTAGTTGTACATTGTAAGAATATATGGCGCCGAGTCATGAAATGAAAAGGTCTGTAAATACGTAAGAGAGCGAGTGATTCCTAAGTTTTACATATGTATATGTAGGTTCAACGAAGCGTGGGCAATATGTAGAGTGGTGGACAAGAAAGACATCTGGATGGAACTTGCTAAAAGTGCTTTAGAACACCTGGAAATTGGACTAGGTGTGGATTTATATATATAGTTATTACACATGGGATTGAGTGATGTATTCGAGAAACTTTTATGTTGAATATATGCATGGTTGTATAACGTTTTGCTTCACGCAGTATAAGTTAAGAGAACATGTAGTTGTATGATGGTTCTTGCTGATGAGAACTATAGTATGGGCAATTCTGCATTAGAGCAGGATTACGGCGATAGAATGGTAGCTATAGGAGAGTTTTCAACGTGAAAAGCAAAAGTAATATTGTTTATTTCATAAAGGTTTACCAAAAGTCATATAATGGGCAATATGTAGAGAACATGTCCTCTCCAAGTTTACTCTTTTCTCCAGCAAACCACTGGATAGCTCGATCAGTTTGAAAATTCACATATAATACACGCTTCCGCCTTGGCTATATAGCTTCGTTTTCATGATTGAGATGTTGGTCTCTAACCATTGAAATGAATATAACTGGAACACTACCTTCAGATAAACTGTCTATCTTTTTCTTGAAGCCAAATTTTACCTTCAGACACGCGTGTCTCATGGAGAGATAAGATCACGCGATATCATGATTGACTGATTGAGCGCTCTTCGCATGCGTGAAAAGACTGGGACTGGCCTTCAAGTTTGGCTTCAAATTTCCGGTTGGAGGTTAGCATTCCAGTTATATTCATTTCAATGTCTCTAACTAATGTCACATACTGGAAATGAGGCCGTATGGCGTACTTTTTACATTCTTTAATGTAATATGATTTTTGGCTTTATTTAAAGCTATTAAAGTGTTTCGAAAAATGGAGGATGTTGCGATGGTTCTATCACTGGACGAAATCCAGGTAAATACTTCGTAGAAATGACTAGTTATTATCTCGTATCTGACATCTTGTATATTGAGGTCATTTGCTTTCAGGCATTTACATCGATTGCATTTCTTCCCTATATGTATTTATTGCTATGTTACTTTCTTATTTTATTGCTATGTTACTGTCTTTTATTATAGGATGTGGAAGATAAAAATCTTCTGTCAGGCTACATTGCCATGTTTATGGAGAATTACAATCTAGCCCAGGTATATTACCTTTATAGCATATGCATGCCAAGATTATAATAGTTCACTGACATGTTACAGTACGTTCCTTTGTGTAAATGAAATGCATGGCTTGCGTGGATTTAACTGATTTCTTTTTATTTTCGCTAGGAGTTATTTATGGCTTCAACAAATCCTTCAGCTGCTTTAGAGGTATAAAGACGAACCTAATTCACTATTTTTATTTATTATTGCATGTGGAAAAACAAAACATGTAAGAAAACAAGAGAAATTGAGGAATGTGTTCACATGATAACATTACATAAAAAGTTTCGAATTCTTGGGTTTCACTACGGCATTGAGGCAACCTCAAGTATAGGCAACCTCAAGTATATTGATGCTTATGCTGTACTGGAGTGAGAAAATGATACGAAATTCCATGTATTTGCCATCAAACACAAGGCGAATACATAAAACGAACAATCGACTCACTCTGATAACTGTGTTTTGTTTTAGAGTTGACCCCCCGTCACTTTTGTGACGTCATATGAAACCCAAGAATAGGACCAAATTTCGTGAAGAAGTTTTGTTGATAGCAAGTCGTGAAATAAAAACTTGAATTTCAGATTGAAATCCGAAAACACCTTGAAATAATTTAAATTAATTTTAAAAAGAGATTTGTAAAAACCCTACTATATACAGGGTGTATCAAAATAAACGCAATTCATCTTTTGTGCTTAATAACTTTCGAAATACTATTTCTAGTTAAACGCTTTTGGGCTTACTTCAAAGCCTGTTCTTTTCTCTTTCAAACAAACTATTATCCTTGTCTCCAGTGCTAGTAATAATTGCACAGGAAAAGATTTAGTAAAACCTATCATTTTTAGTTGCTGTTTAATTATGCAAGTTTACTATGTTATTGTTTAGTCGGTTTAAATGTTAGAATTTTCTTCTTTAAACTTTAATGTTGTCGTCACTACATCTGGAAAACCACGTAAGAACAAATTAAAAGTATTTTAAAAGAGACCAGGTTGTTTGAAAATCCTAAACGAATGCTAAAAATCGTCAAAACATTCTGGTGTCTGAGCCAGAGTGTCATCGAATTGCGATGTAATGTAAACAGAAATTATAGCAAGTTGATGTCAGTCAGCTTAGATGGTCCAAGCCAAAATTATATCGCATTTGAAGTTTCAAACTGAGTTAAAAATAGTGGAAGAAAAGCCGTAATTATACTTATTGTTACAATCCATTTAATAAAATGCAACATTTTTTTGTTTTAATGAAAAAATCAGTTATTTTCATGAGAATGATTTGTTATTCCATATCTCAATTTTTTTAATCTCCAATCGCAATAACGTAAAGTATTATTACGCGCGAACCAATGAGTCAAATTTAAGAAACAACCCACTGTTAGAAAGCTGAATGGCTACGCTTTAAAATGAATGTGAACTTTAACGTTTTCGTCTATTATTTGTTTAGCAATTTACATTTCAGTCGAGGATTGCGCTTTTTTTGATACACCCTGTATACATAACAATACGATGGGCTTTGAGTGGAATAAATGCAATTCTTACTTCCCTAAACTCTTTTTCAATACCATGCACAGAATCACAGGAAAATTCAGTTCGAAGGACCGTTTGTTACCATGAAGGCGCAGAATCAAAATGCAATACTTTATTCAAACATGTTTATATGTAAACATGCATGCCTGATCTATATCTAACAATTGTAGAATGCCCGTGAAACACGTCGTCCCTATGCTCTTCGAAACATTTTTCTAATAACGCGGGGGAGGGAATTAATAATTTTTCTGGCCTACAATTATTTTCAAATATTTTTTGTATGCAATTTTAGTGATTACTAGATTGCAAAATTATGATTGCTAGATTGCATTGATATCGAAGGAACTAGACTCAGTTCGAAAATATCACATACTCGAACCGACCTGACCGCGTAGCTCAGTTGGCAGAGTATTGGGCTAGTATTCCAAAGGTCGTAGGTTCGATTCCCACCTTGGCCAGGCATATTTTTCAAGCTTGCCCGGTGTGGATATATACTCCGAGTAACATCACAAACATCAATTTTAGTTTTGTTTTGCGATGAAAGTTCTGTTGGTATTTTTAGTTTTTGAGTGTATTTCGCTGCCTAGAAATTTATTTGACCAGCCATTTGGCAAGGGGTTCCCAATCTTTAAAACTGACTGAAATGTTGCATGGGCCACACATTTTCCCGTGAAATTGTAGGCCGCTAATCTGTTCCCTACAAAACTGCTTTCTCTCATGACGATTTGTCATTTGTAGGCCGTTAATTTGTACCGTGTTAACGTGAACTTGCTTTACAGATGCGTCGGGACCTATTGAACTGGGATCAAGCCCTGGAACTGGCCAAGAGTCTTGCTCCTGATCAAATACCATTTATCTCTCGAGAATATGCGCAACAACTGGAATTCACGTATGTCTAATAATATATCTTTCTGTTCTCATCAACAACAACCACTGCTTTCCGTACTTTTTGTCGTTTCAGCAAAACATACCGGTTTGTTATCAAACTTTGTCTAGTTAATTTTGTGTAAATTTGTTAATATTTGTTGTACAAGAGACGAACTATCATAGCACTAAAATTGTAGTACTGTACAGGGATCTAGGGAATCCATAAGACGCAGGGGAGTTTTAAGAACAAATGAAGGGTATACTACTAATGATAATAATAATAATTTTCTGGTTGCTTTGATTTCTAGTCTCATTAATGTAGCTCACCAAACTGTTATATTTGGTTGCGTTGTATGTATAGCATTGGTTCATAGTCTGTCAAGATATGATGGTCTGGAAACTCGGCAAACTTCAAAGCTACAAAATAGAAGGGCTTTGTTTCATGTTGAACTGTTCCTCACCATGCACAAATCCTTTGTCTTTATTTCATTAAATATTATTCATCGTGGTTGCACGTTTCATCTCAGCTATCCCTATTGGACGATTACTTTATTATACAAAAGTACAATGAGCTCAATCACCGCGTGACCGTGCACAAATTAACATAAACTCAGACAAAAACATAATACAATGACTTCTGTTTAGTTTCCACATCATCATATCTTGATATAGACTATGGTTTGTTATAGAATAAAACTCAAATCAGCCGAAATACTTATTTTTCAATTTTAAAGTTAGAACTTACTGTTTTTCATCTGATGAAAAAAAGCTCACAAAACAATTAATAAACAATTAATGTGTGACTGGTCTCTATGTTCCAGTTATTTTACATTCAATTTTGTGAAAATGATATTTTATGTCATATTGGTTATTTTAGAGGTGATTATGGTAATGCATTATTACATTACGAAAAAGGAATAACAAAACTTCCAGAGGTAGGTTTAATCTGAATAAAACAACATATTTGTTTTCTTTTAAAACGCATTTGCTCAATTTATATAGTGGTGCATGTTAGAGCACAGGTTAAGTATATGTCTGCTCAGGTTTCAAAAATATTCGCTTGTCCTGAGCAGCAAAGCGACCATAATATGGAAAGTGGTCTTTACGATGTAGGACGCCAACACAACGACGACCGATAATACGAAGGCGTTGTAGATACGACGTTATACAAATCTGTGGTTCACCATTGTAAGCAGAGCGAGGACTATATCTAAAACTCCCCTGGGATTTTAATTATTCATTTCATTGTCATAAAGTCTATTAATGTGTCATAAAAACTGCAAAGTCTCAAATGTTTGTTTTAACGTTATTGCCATGCACTGGCAGCCGTCTGAGTTCCTGCCCTGTATGTATTCCCCTAAACATAAGAAAGAAAAGCCTTATCTGTAACCAAGATTATTTAAAAGGCTAACAAAACGGACGTTAATTAACAGCAGCCATGTTATACTGCGGAATTACAAATAATTTTGCAACTTTTTCTCTAGGAACAAGATCATGATGACGCATGTTTGGGAGGTGTTGCAAGAATGTCCATCAGAATGGGAGATATTCGACGGTTAGTGATAACAAATATAAAAATATCTAGAAACTAGCAGTGTTGATTTCTCATGAAAAATATCTATTTCTTTAGTGGTGTTGGGCTGGCCACAAATAGCTCGAGTCGTCAATTAAAAAAAGAATGCGCCAGCATTTTAGAGAATATTAAGGTAAATATGATAGCTTTTATTGCCATTCGAATTTTCGTTGCTTCTGAACTTATACACTAGCTGTATCAAAATGAGTTCAAATTAATGATATCTATATGCAAGTCCACAATTTTTCCGTCTTACGCTGCAACTTTTTTCAAAAAATAAAAACTTGGCAACATGCATAGTTGTACCTTGTTGTACCTTCTTTTTAGCAATATGGAGAATCTGCAGTTTTGTATGAAAAAGCTGAATACTGGGACAAGGCAGCAGCAGTCTATATAAAGACTAAAAACTGGTAAGATATCATAATTCATCAATTTGACGTAAATTGTCAAAATTTTTAGAAGATGTCAAACGTCGGAAAACGTCTTAGCATGCAGGCGGGGGATCTCAGTCAGATTTCGAGTTAATGCGGTACCCAAACGAAGTTTGCCATCGCTTTATATTCGCTGTTGGTCGGTTAGTTTGTTGGCCTGTTAGTTTGTGTGTTTTTTAGTCCTTGGTATTTTTCAAAACTAGTATGTCTTCGCGCTTGTGGTTCATTTGTTTTGGTATGCTCTGGACACTACACTGTAGTATTACGTCTGGTTTATTTTCAGGAACAAAGTGGGTTCATTACTCCCTCATGTTTCATCTCCGAAACTTCATATTCAATATGCGAAAGCGAAAGAAGCTGATGGACGATATAAAGAGGCAGCTAAGGCTTACGAAGCTGCAAAGGATTATGATAACGTTATAAGGTACGTACAGTTTATGTCATACTTAATTTTGGCCATTGCGTAATAACTTTCTGTAATAACATTTGTACTAACTGGGAGCAGATTTGTAGAGAATGCCACTGTAAATTCTGCAGCGGTCAACCTGTGAAGTACGGGAGCCAGATGGCAGGAGCTATATCCGTAACCTAACTGATATACATACAGATGCACTGCATTCGAATCCTGTCGACGAACGTGGAAACCTGCGTTTCTCCAGCTATAAAGTTTTGTAACTTCTTTAACTATGCCTAGCTTTGTATGTTTTCACTCCATGTAGGATTTATTTGGATTATCTGCAAAATCCCGAGGAAGCTGTGAGGGTGGTAAAAGAAACTCAGTCTGTTGAAGGAGCAAAGATGGTCGCCAAGTAAGACACCTATTGCGCATGCGAAGATTTTTACGGTCACAATTCATTGTAATTCATTTCTTAATTTGAGTTTAAGGTTAATATAACACATGTTTTTATATTATAGATTTTTTCAAAATCTTGGAGATTTTTCCTCTGCTATTCAGTTTCTTGTATTATCAAAATGTAACGACGAAGCATTTCAAATGGCTCAGGTATTAGTTTGTACAGTTATTAACACGTGCACCCTCTCATGTTACAAATTTAATAAGATCGACTTCGAACATTTCTATGGTAATATCGTGACAATAATTTTAATCTTTGCTTGGGCTAGTCTGCATGTGGAATTTCTCTCTCCCCTAGATCACCCTCTTCATGACTGTGAATAATGAGTATGACTATATGCGTAATTATAACTACATGACTATTATGACTATATATGACTACATGACTATACGACTACTTGACTATACGACTACATGACTGTACGACAATATGGCTATACGACTACATGACTATACGACTACATGACTATACGACTACATGGATATACGACTACATGGATATACGACTATACGACTACATGACTATACGACTACATGACTATACGACTACATGACTATACGACTACATGACTATACGACAACATGGCTATACGACTACATGACTATACGACTACATGACTATACGACAACATGGCTATACGACTACATGACTATACGACTACATGACTATACGACTACATGACTATACGACTACATGACTATACGACTACATGGATATACGACTACATGGATACACGACTATACGACTACATAACTATACGACTACATGACTATACGACTACATGACTATACGACTACATGACTATACGACTACATATGTGACTATACAACTACATGAATATACGACTACATGACTATATATGACTGCATCACTATATGACTACATGACTACACGACTACATGACTATATGTAACTATATGACCACATGACTATACGACTACATGACTATATATGACTACATGACTATACGACTACCTGACTACACAACTATACATGACTATATATGACTCCATGACTATATATGACTCCATGACTATATATGACTCCATGACTATATTTGACTCCATGACTATATATAACTCCATGACTATATATGACTACACGACTACATGACTATACGACTACATGACTATACGACTACATGACTATACGACTACATGACTATACGACTACATGACTATACGACTACATGACTATACGACTACATGACTATACGACTACATGACTATTATGACTACGACTATTATGATTATTATGGGTATATGACCACATGACTATATAATTATTATGGCTGACTCAGGGCTTTATCCAAGCACTTTTACTGACCCCCGTTTTAGAAAAGAAGATTCAGGTTTTGTGACGCACGAATGTAGCAAAGGGGAAAAGTCCCTGAAAGCTTTTGCTATTTCAGCCTCTTAGACTTTGTTGCCGCCACGTTGCTCGGATGTAACTGCGTGGTTTGTGAATGATGTAATCTTATGTAAATATTGCGCAATACCAAAGAGGGCATGCATCGATGTAGTAGTATTTGAGCAAATATTTTCTGTGGCTTTTTCACTCTTCCAGCTCAAGGTTGTGTAAATTTTAGATTTTAGTTCAAACAATTTACTTTCTATTTGTAATATTTGTTATTCTTCAATCATCCCGTTTCATTTTGTGCTGATTTGATCGAAATTTTTATCAGAAATCCAAACATGCATACAATCTAAGGATAGTGGGTACAAGACACAAAATATACGATACAGGTAGCTTTATAATTAACATAAACATGTCGTTTTATTTTGAAAAGAAACCCAGCTCAAATAACCCTGTTTCTCGGTATTCCAAAAACTAAAGCATGTGAAAATGATTTTTTTTTTTTTTTTTTTTTTTTCGTTGGGGGAAAGATTCAGTTTAAAAATTCAATCCAAGATTGAGTTTTGACCTCCATTTACCGGAGGTCAGTTGGTGCGTGGATAAAGCCCTGCTGACTATATACTCCAATGGGATGTTGGTTCCCCATTTGGAGGTACCTCAATTGGGGTGTTTGGGGATACACCAATGGGGGTGTTTGGGGTACCCCAAGGGGGTCGTTGGGTACCCCAATGGTAACGGTATGTCTTGTATATGTGCAATATACGGCGACGTCAGACATATATTTTACTTGAGTCTTCATTAATGGTCCTCGTAATGAAAAGCGTGTCGTATGCAGGCATATGATTGAATGTCAATCAGTAAAACAGGGACACATGTAGTGTAAACTATTACTAATTAGTAAGATCAATATTTTTACATCTAGGCACACAATCAAATGGAACAGTATGCTGAGATTATTGGTACGTAAATAAATTAAATAAATCACAGTGTAATAAGCTCTTTGCATAACGTCACAAATATGTCAAACCCATGATTGATCGAATGGCTTGGAGAACAGTTGGATTTTCAAAACAATGAAAAGACAACGGAAACTTCTGATCACTGGATCGTGACTGGATGCATGGTACTATTGTTGTGCTGCCTGTTTTCCGCCAGTCACATTGTCGAAATTTCTTTTTCGCTTCACGCGAACAAATTAGGCTCGTGGAAAACGGGCTTTACACAAGGCAATTATTGCTACAACGTGCAACACCATTTCTGACATAGAGCCATGTTATCGAAAAAGTAATCACAGAAAAATTGTCATCCGTGCCATACTCACAATTTCTCTAAAACTAATATTTAGATGACATAGCTCTGTATACGATACTGCATTACAACATGACCTTAAATTAAGAATTCAAATCAACTCAAATCTTCTATATTTGAATGTGTAGGCGATGATTGTACACCTGATGATTATTCCAGTATGGCGTTACATTTTGAACAGAAGAAACAGCATTTTTTAGCTGGAAAGTTCTTTTCCAAAGCTGGGCAATATAACAAGGTGAGCCATGGCGTTATCATACTACTATATAAAACACATTTGAATATGTCATATATGCATTGTATTCTCTTCTCTAATTCTGTTCTTTAAATAGGCATTAAAACATCTGTTAAAATGCCCATCGAGTGAGGAGAGTCAAGCCATCGAATTGGCTATTGAAACGGTAAATTTCATGTTGTTTTTGCTACTGGTTGTTATAGCTTATAGCTCGTCCGCATGTATATCTATAAGGGTTACCAGGGTTTAAAGAAACCTAGTGGGAAAATTGTTCCCCAGATGTAGTTGCACGTTGATCAAATGTACATTTTTAACATCTTTCGTTTCCCAAAACCGAGTTTGATAAGGTACATTACAAAACTGTAAGATCTACGACGTAAGCGTCGGTAAATGCGCGCAAAAGATTATAGGACCAGGACGGTAGGATCTATGACAGTAAACCCGCGCAAAAGATTTCTTAGGACCTGGAAGTCACTAAACTAGTTCCTTTCTATAACGGAACTTTTCTAAAATGAAAAAAGTTTAAAGACTCGTTCAAATCTATTACACACGGTTAGTCCTTTTAGTTTAACACTTGGATGACGGTATTTTTGTTCAAAAAGAAAAACGTGCGCGTGCATAAGTGATTGCATATTCTAATCTGAACACTCTGACTCGCCTTTTCATCCAAATCTGCTTTACCTGGGATTATATTTAGTTCACGATTTAACTTTCAGGTCGGTCTTGCCAAGGATGACGCTTTGACTCATCAACTCATTGATTATCTCATGGGTGAAGTGGATGGGATTCCAAAGGTAAGATACTCTAATTATAAACACGCACTGTTTACAAAATGCCTAAGGGATCTGTTCTTTCTGATGCGCAGAAGTCATGGAACACGTCCACTTAAAAAGTCAAGTAAACATATTTGCGAGTTTTAATAATAAACTTCACCTGAAATGTTATATATAAGTACCAGCCTACCATACATGCAATACGAAAACACATTAAATTATCTAGAAGAATCCTACATTATGGCGTGAATGTTTTTCCTTAACTCAAACAGTGCTGTTAAAAGTTTGAAACTACTGATTCCTAACAATCCGTCAGCGCTTCCGCTAATACATAATTTGCTATATACATAACTTGCTTCATACAATCATGCAAACTAGGACGGTGAATATAGAGTGGAATGTAGGATGCATGTTCATGGTTGTGCAGGGCAATGCAAGGCATGATGTGAAAGACAGCAGTACATCAAGAGTAATGCATATATTTTGTTTAGGATGCCAAATACGTGTTTCGTATTTATATGGCATTACAACAATATCGTGAAGCTGCAAAAACAGCCATTATTATTGCTCGAGAAGATCAATCTGCTGGAAACTACAGAAATGCTCATGATGTCTTGTTTGGAATGTATCAAGGTTTGTATACTGTTCAATTTTAGTAAGAATTAAAAAATTAGGTACAATGAAATGTCGACATTGTTAGTCCCAAATTTAATGAATTCTTTTGTTCCTCGACATGGCTGCCGTGACGTCATGTAAAACTAACAAAGTTGTTTTTATAGTCGGTTGTCGGTTACTACTGCTATTAGCTAATGCCTATTATGCCAATCTGGCAGCTACAAAGCTCCCCTCCCGGCCTTTGCGCTCTTCTCGATGGTATGCCATGTAGCTGTGGTTCATGACTTTCAGCTCCGCCTCAACCTTCCTCCTTCATGTCTACCTCGCTTCCGATTCCCGTCTGGTGTCCAGTACAGCGCCACATTTAAAATATAGTTGGTTTTTGGTGCTTTAAGTTCAAGTGAAATGCTGATAAATACATGTTACAAACCTATAATAGTAATGAAAATAAAACATGTTGCTTTACGGTAATGTGATTATTTATTGTTTAGAACTTCTTCAACATAAGATCAAAATACCAACAGAAATGAAGCAAAATTTAATGATTCTTCACAGTTATATATTGGTCAAGGTATGTCGTATACATGCAGATTAAGATGACTACCTACAGTTATTGTAAAGTTTAAATATTTATATAGATCAGACACACAACGAAAACGAGGGTTACCTAAAATACTTAAAATTTTAGAAAAGTGTAGGGAGCCACTTTAAGTGATGATGAATAGAACTTTTAATATTTCGAGTGGGAATCTGGTTTATTAACAACAAAAGTATCATGTATCTATAACTACGATATGTATTCAAATGCAGCTGGCACGTTGTTGAGGTCATGAATCTACTGCTCTCAAGCCCTATGTGAACTTATTTCGCTGTGGGACGAAACCGCCAGCGTACCTGGAGAAAACGCATGACCCTCGCCAGCGCATTGAGACTTTCCCAATATTTCTTGATTGTTGTGATTAAGTGAGGATTACAGTTGTCTGTAACCAGCGACAAAGTCTGTGTTTTAATAACCTGAACTATTTGCATCCAGGTTCACGTCAAGCGTGGAGATCATTTAAAAGGTGCTCGTATGTTGATACGTGTTTCTAACAACATCAGCAAGTTTCCAGCCCGTAAGTAAATGCATTTTATAAAATAACATGTATATAACGCGTGTTCTGATTGGTCGAAACCCGTGTTTGGATCAGGCCATCCAAACACGGAGACTATCGTGTCATAGATTAAGGAATGAATAGATGGCTCACTCCTTTGATGTTTTTGACGCTGCCGGCGCCCACGCATGTTCTTGCCAGAG